TTGCCAACTTCATAGTCCTCCAAAGCCTAAACTTAAACCCTGAACCTGAAGCTGTACCGACCATGGGCAAACTTGCTTGCACCTGTGCGCGAAGCCCCTGAAACGAATTGGTTGGAAGCATCACATGCATCTTTCTGATCTTAAAGGCTTGCTTAGCACTACTGTGAAGAATGTTCCTGCAGTCTCCTCAAGCGCGATACCCCAAAACAGATGCAAGTCCCAACATGTGCTAATTTAGAGTTGAGGGTCTAACAGCAGACAACACAGGATGAACCCCTTCCGGATTGCGGTCCTGCAGTGGAAGCAGTCACTTGGCATTCACTGACATTTAGGGTTTTGCGTGGCTAGATTTAGTTAGGAAACAATGAATTGAAAAGAAAATGGGAACTACCATAATGGAGAATCTAATGGAGAAGAACATGGAAAGTAGCGTTATGTAAGGATTATATCAGGATATATAGGGGAATGGAAGAGAGAATGGACATTACATTATTGGACTTTAAAGTAGGGAGTACTACAAGTATCCAGTCTGGCATTCAGGAGAGAGCCGATAGGTCGTGATCAGCCTGGGAGAACCCAGAACACAGTTAGGGTTGATGGTTTAGAGCCCCCACCCTCCTTAAAGCCATAGCTCCAAAATTAGTACCCCAATAGAGGATGTATGGTAGCCAGGCCTTAAACACAGAAACTGTAACCCTAAACCCTGAAAGGGTTAAGGGTTTGCGGTTTGGGCCACTTGAGCCATGATAATAAATGAGCCCAATGCAGCATCACATCATATATTTGCGGATTTACTATTTGGAGTGGGGGGCATCCACCGTAGCGGGTCCATAAGCCCGGAGCCCTTAAAACCCTGACGCCACACTCTAAAGTTTTAAGCCCCGAACCCCAAGCCCTTAAAACCGTGAACGTTAAATCCCCGAACCCAAAGCCCTTAAGCCCCAAAGCCGTAAACCCTGAACCTTAAACCCTTACAAGCTTAAACCCTGAACCCAGAGGTGGCTGTCAGTGCTGACGCGGAAGCCCCAGTCCACATTGACGACATCATCCACAGCCTGGAGGAGGGTATGCGGAGTTGCATCAACTATAGTCTAAGCTCCTTAAAGGTGGGTTAAATAGGGGATTTTATGAGGGAGTCATATGAAGGTTATTAAGGGGGATGCTAGGAGTTCAGACTAGAGCTCATATGGCCCCAGAATACAGAATCAACTGGAAATTTTGAACTGATGGGGCGAGCGGGCTCCACTCCTTGCGGGCGATGTACTGCTGTATGGTAGTCCTATTTAGTCCTCAACACGTGAGTAATTTTTATTTTTGCCTATCCACTCCCTGCTAAACAAGGGCACGTGGTTCAGGGTCTGCCGTAGCATCCCTTCCCACTCCCAACTTCGGGTGAGGAAGGCTTGTATTGAGCATCTGGCCGAGACACTCTAGTCCTGTTAATGTCTAAATTGCAGCGAAACCAGATTTGATACATTAGATTAATGTTGCTTCCGGGGATGCATGTGTCGGAGCACTTGCGACAGCAAAGCAGCCAACAGTTATGTTTCAGCCAAGTTTTGTAAACGGCAAGGATGCTGTTCAAAAAAGAAGCACCAATGGCAGCTGTGGTTAAGTGGTGCAGGGTAAAATTTCCCTTCGCAAAATTGACACCCTTGCATGGCTGTTGCTTTGCCTCACTCCTTGGATCTAAAGCCTGAAGCCCGTAGCCCAACCAATCTTAAATCCTAAACTGTCTGAAAGCAAGGGCTTTTGGCACAGTTTCAGATGCAGGGCTGCGCAGGAGCTGAAAAGGCAACATTATGGCTTACCTTCTTTGTACAATTGTCGTAAAGGTACCACAATTTGATTTCAAAATCAGATTAACATGGCTAAGGATTTGGGCCCTACATTAATACAGAGTGGCACAGTTTCACCTCACCGTGTGGCAGTTGGGTTCACAGGCAAGCCCTCGAATGCTTGAAGCTGGCAGAGTCTTCTGTGGGGGTGTCCGGGTTCATTCCTCTTGCCCTCTTCGTGTCTGTCCTATCTTTGGTTTTAGTTTGTTTCTTATTGCTACGCTGCCCCTTCATGTGAAGTTGTGGATGCTGTGTTGTTGGAGGCCGTTGATTGCGACGAGGGCCACACGCAAGCAACCACAGAAGCAGGTCCGACCTGCCTTCAATTCCATTTGCTCTTTTAGGTTTGGCCCATGAGAAGATTCATCTTGCATTCTCAGAAAAAGGGTATGCGGAAGTGTGAGACGTGAAGCAAGACGAGTGATATGATAATTTGATAGGTGCGATCAGTATCCGGGAAGAGGACAAAGCAGCCAACACTGTCAAGAAGGCTGGGCTTCGCATTGCAAGTTGGTCCATGTGGCTTAGGCTTTCGGGTTGAGCGTCCCTGCAGTTTCAGATGGGCATTTTTCAAAATAGTCCTTACATGTTTCCTAGTGAGGACCACCATCATAATGTCGGTAGAATGGGATCCCTAGGACTTCCTTTCTTGGGAAACCCCTACATGTGTTCTTACAAGTTGCGACTGGTTTAGGCTGGAGTACGGGATGGGCGGGTCCTTGGAATAATCCTGATATACTCCACCGAGCTGGTACCCATTGTCATGCATGTGCGGGAAGACTCGGGGAGAGATATGTTCTTGGCACGTTGGTAATTTTGTAACATCAAAACTTTGTATGGCCGACACACATGTGTGTGGCTGGCAAGCCATACGCTGATGCTATGCATATGCTTGCTGGTGCGAAGTAAAAAAATTCAATTCATATGCCGATAGAAGTTCGCTTGCACTAGCAGGCAGTTGTCCCGGAGCATACAGAGGAGAGGCCTGGGCTGCCGAAGAAGGCCGGGCTCAGGTGAATCCCCACAGGACCCCAAACAGGTAGACCATCCAACAACATCCAGGTTCCTTGATATTACCCTTGCAGCAGGGGGAATGGAGGGCCCTAAGGATTCACTCTGTGGGCTGCGTAATGCCCCAGCATTTGTTGGTGGAATTGGTGGGTTTTGTAAGGCTCGGCGAGTCTCGGGTCGAGAGATGGCCAAGATTTTGGGCCATGAACTTTTATATTACCCACCACGGTATTATCCCTCTACCCTGTAATAGTGGTATAATAGGACCCTGATATAATCCCTATGATCCCTTATATTCATTATTACATGCTTGGGGGTCCACCTAACTCATCCTTAAACCCTAAATCCCAAACCTTAAATCTAAGCCCTAAACTTACTGCAAGGTGGGGGTCCACCTAATGTATGATGCAATGCCAGATCTTGGGAAGGCTTGGAAGTTTGATTTGGGTTTCCGCTTCATCAGCACCCCAAATGTAGGGGTTTCTAGGCGTTTTAGGATTTAGGGTACATATAGGGGTTATATCAGGGTTATTTTAAAGTTATATAGGGAGATGTGGGGTTTCTAAACATAATGTAGAACCCATGATAAGCCCACTCCTTCAAGGGGCTTAATATGGGATCCCTATTATGATCCCTATTAAGGGAAGGAGGTTTATTAGTCAGGGGTTTGGTTTTTTCTCTACAAAATCCCCCAGGGATAGCACCCAGCTCTCTGTAATCCCTATGTATCCTTACGAGCCCCGAACGACTTTCCAATGATGAGAGACCGTCATGAGAGTACCCACCATGAGTGAGCTGTCGGGCGCAAGATTGTGCGATTTTAAGTTTAGCTTACAGAGGCTCAGTAGGGATAGGTAAGCACCAGTAAATTAGAATTAGGGTTCAGGAATTGTCCCAGGCCAGCTAGAGGATCCAACAAAAAGTCGCCTAAGAAATAGCAGTTATTGGGAGGTCCCATTTTACGCATCCTTTAGCGGATATAGAATTGAGACTAGTTCCAACTACCTTCCTTGGGGTTTGGGGCTTAGTGTTTAACTTGGAGTTTGAAGAAATCAGCGCCCCTGCTTTGGTTGACGAACTCTCTATTGGGGATCCTGTTTTGTTTCTCAAAAACGCTAGATGTTCTGACGCCTGTCCTTATAGAAGAGCATGAGCACGAAAACGTAGAAGAGATACGTTCATGTATCCTGCAAGCATAAGTGCTAAAGCAAAAAGCAAATGTAGTCAGGAAGCATAAATGCTAAAGCAAAAAGCACAAGTAGTCAGGAAACATAAGTGACTGCACGGTTACGATGCCGCGTGTCACGATTTATTACATTTGCTCCAGCGCGCGCGCGCGCTCAAATTCTTTCCAAAGTATCATGGCCGTGGAACATCACATTGGAAGATAGCATATATATGGTCATGCTCAAACCTTTATGTAAGCACAACTATCTTTTTGCAACGGCTCGCCTTCATGAGTGTACTCCATGAGGGGCTTGCTAGAGGTTTTTTTACGTTTGGACCCAATATGCGGCGAGATCAGCGCATCCTCTCTATAGGTTGTGCTGCAGGTACTAAAGGCTTTCCGATAATTGATGGACTAGTCACAGATTTGTGCATTTCCCAAAATTTTGGGTGCCTTTCTGGTGTCCCTTTACTAAGGATTGTAGTATTTTGGGATTCCCCTACTCCCCCTAATGGAAACTACCAGTTGGCTTGTGGAAGCTTGCATCCTTCTTGCCTCTTATGCAAAAGCTTGATGACTCAGCTGAGACTTGATCATTTCCCACATTACAAAATGTCCACGCATACCTTATGCATGAGGTCATTCCGCCTTACAGAAAGGGCAATGGGTAATCAGATTGGTAATGGCCCCTGAAAAAGGCCCCCTTCAAGGACAGTTACTGTAAAGGGGAATGACCCAACCTATGCATGAATCGCAGTTGAACCCAGTATTGCAATGCAAAACCAGCAGTAGTTAATCCTAATAATAGTAGTAATTGTAATAATAGCAATAATGATAGTAGTATTAACCGTAATACTAATCGTAAGAACGCTAATAGTACTAGAAACAATGATAGTAGTAATAACGGTAATTATAATAGTAGTAACACGAATGATAGTAATAATAGTGGTACTAGTCATCGTCTGCTGCAGGCTCGCTTGGCGATGGTTTCAGCTCGCTTCAACGCCAAGAACCGGGAAGTGGAGCAGAAGTTTCGCCGCGTGTGCCAAATACTTCGTGCACGAGACCTGGAGGTCCAGTGGCTTTTTAAGCAATTTTGTAAACCCTAAGCCCTAAACCTAGTTTCGCAAAATGTCCCATGTAGGGGCGGGCCAGATATCTCTAGGATCCCTGAAAGCAGCCCGATTTTGAGGAACTCCCATGGATGTAGTTCAGGGTCTAGTTTAGGGTTTAGGGTTCAGCCTTTTGAAAAACAGTTCCCTAGATGCACGAAACCTGGAGGTCCTTATGGTCGAAGCTGGCGGATCAGAGGATTTTGGTGACATGACCATGGGCTACCTACACAAGTTAAAAGTGAGGCATGGCATCATGCTGGCGGTGTGCACCTTACTTTGCCAGCAGGAGAACTTCAGATTTGTTGGGCTTCCGCTTTGGTTTGAAAAACATGTTTCTCCCTTTCCCTAGGGATCCAAGTGTACAGATCATACCTACATTGTGCCTCAAAGTATGGAAATATGACCTACATCGGGCTATCTGGATCCCTAGAGTAAGCCTTAGACCCTAAACTCTAAACCCTAGACCCTTGTTCTCTACATTGGGCTATTTGGATCTCTAGGGTTTGTTTGTTGGGGGGAAGCGAGGCACCAGCGACTATGCAGAGATGACGTCAAGTCCATACTCCTCGCACGCCGAGCTCAAGTACGCCCTGGATAACAGAATTGAAATCTTGCCCTTGAAGGTCGAAGCTCACAATAGCAATGCTAATAATACCAATACTAAGAATCGTAATGGTGATGGTAATAGTAATAGGAATAATTACAATAATCGTAAGAAGAAGAATACTAATAATGTGAGTAATCAGGGATAAGCAAATTGAAATCTTGCCCTGGAAGGTTGAAGCAACCTATCCACCCGAACCTGGCCCTGTTGTTGAGAAACTCCTGTCAATGTTGCTGTTATTTTGCCATGATCATTAAGACTACTGTGGAGGAAATCTTGCACCACCCTATTTGGCCCCCAAAACTGCTAATTACAATGCTTTGGGGATACAAAGTGGTGCAAGATTTCCTCCATCAACCATATTACTACTATTACCATGAATTAGGAGGACCCCCCACCCTGTAATAGTGGCATAATAAGAATATAAGAGGACCCTAATATAATCTTTATTATCCCTTATAGTCACAATTACAGGGTGGGGGGTCCTCCTTAACTATAAATGAAGTTAGGGTTTGGTGTGTGGAGGTTAGGCCTAAGGTGTACGGTTTGGGGGTTACGAGTTTATTGTTGTACGGGTTATGTAGGAGTTTTGTATTATTAACGGAAAATGAAACAGAAGGTAAGATTATATAGATGCTCTCCAGGGTGTATCGTTCTGTGGGTATACAGTAAGTAATGCTGCCAAGGTGCTTTAAACTCCCAATCTTAAACCCTAAACCCTGAACTGTAAACCCTAAACCCTTAACCCTAAACCCTGGACCCTTAACCTTAAGCCCTAAACCCTGAGCTTTAAACCCTAAACCCTAAACCCTGAACCTTGGACCCTAAACCCTGAGCTTCAAGCCCGAAACCCTTAACCCTAAACCCTAGACCCTTAACCTTAAACCCTAAACCCTAGACCCTTAACCTTAAACCCTAAAACCTGAGCTTTAAACCCTAAACCCCTAACCCTAAACCCCTAACCCTAAACCCTTAAACCCTAAACCCTAGACGTGGCATCCCAGGAGCCCCCCTGGGGGAACAACCATCCCTTCGACAAGATAGGAACCGCTTGCGGCCTGGTGGGCTTGGCAATGCCAAGCTCGAAAGTTTCTGAGTTGCTGTAGGGTTTAGGGTTTAGGGGTTTAAGGTTTAGGGTTTAGAGGTTGCTGTTAAGGAACTTAAATTGCGATACCATACCGGGTACTTATTTAGTCAATACAAGAACTTTAACCTTTTTGTGCTTCCTTTTTGGGTCTCTATGATAAAGTTTAAACGTTTTTAGCCTTGGTTATTGGGGAAGGGAAGGTATACATATATACACATATACATTTAGTCAATAATTGGGTCTGCCAACTATAGTAGTTTAGTTTAAGTTCCTTAACAGCAACCCAGGTTTTTGTGGATTGTGTTGACCAACCAGATGCCTTCATTGCCGATGAGATTGAAAACTAGGTTCATTTTGGCATTGCTTTTCTGATCTTGAGCAGCCCAGAAGATACATACATCTCATGTGAGCTATAGCCTACATTACTCAAAGGGTTATATATAGGGGAGTATGATAGGGGTTATTAAGGGGGATAATGGGAGGTTAGACTACATCTCAATTGCCTGCTATCTCTTGCAATGTCCCAGGAAAAGGTGTTGCGACCTTCTTCCAAACTTGCGAGAGGCCCCCGACGGGTTCTGCATGCCACGCGCTCCTCAGTGGAGACCCAGGATACTGTATAGGGTGTAGGGTGTTGCAACTATGTTTCTGTCAGGCCCCTGCACCTCGGGCTCATGTGTTAAGTTGTGTAGTTTCCTTTTTCTTTTCCATCCACTTATTAACCCTTACGTGACCCCTAGACGCGCCCGTGTAGCCCCGATTTTAGGGTGCGTCTAATAGCAGCATGAAGGGAAACCAATCTCCATGTCATTTTCAAGTGTCTTGTCCGTTTGATTCTCCTTACTTGGGATGATATCCCTAAACCTTAGATCCTAAACCCTAAACCCTGAAACCTGTATAAACCCCTGTCAGTACTAAGTCGCATGAGCCTTTAAGTTCTTCCTGAATAGGCCAAAAGCTTAGGAGTGCTGGCTCTGATTTCCCAAACACACCTCCAGAGGTTTGATGTTTAAGGTATGGGGTTTCGGAGTTAAGGGTTTAAAGTTTGGGCTTTACAGCTTGGAGTTTGAGGTTTCGGGTTTAGCTTGGGGTGAAGGAGTTCGAGGCTTCGCATTTGCAGTTTTGGGTTTAGGGTGGGAGTTGATCAAAAGAATCCCTACGCAATCCTTAACTCATGGGATCCCGACTATCGAGTTGAATCTCCATGCGTGCCTAGGGCTCTCATGTCCTACGAGAGCCCTCATCATCAGATCAGAAACAATAGTCATATTAATCATGAAACGTAGATCCGAGAAGATAGATGAGTAATGCCTGAAACAATAAAATAGCCATCATGGAAGTGCAAAGTATCCTAACAATGCTAATGTAACCATTCTGCAGAACAGCCAGTGAAATCCGACCCACTGCAAAGCTTTCAGAGTATGAGCTGAGGCCACAGTCACCTCAACGCATTGTTGCCCTTGCTATATGAACCCCCCAAGAATCATGCAAGTTGTAAGCTGGATAAACAGTAATGTAGTTGTATAGAGCCCTTAATTTGACCTCCCGGTATAGGCTGTGAATGGGTCGGGGCAGGACCCAAGTTGTAGGTAGTAAATGACGGAATCGGAGACAGGGATTGTAAACAGCCATTGGATGCTGACTAAGGTAGACCCATGATTAATAAACCCCTTCCTTTTAAGGGCCTAAGTATTTGGATCCCTATTATTCCCCCTATTACATACCTCATAATACTATAGTAGTTTCTATTCTTTCCATTATCCCTATATAACCCCTATATACCCCTATAATCCCTGTGGTATCCATTTTCTGTTCCATTATCCCTATTGAGGGGAGGTGGTTTATTAATCACGGGTCTGGGGTACTAAGGGAATCCAAGCCTTCCTTCAAAAACCAAACGCGGCTTAGGGTTAAGGGCTGACCCCCGTTGACCCTAAACCCTCAAGAAGGTGATAAGTAGTTTTTGCTTTCTTTTGTACCTCCTGCTAAGCACTAAACCCTCAAGAAGGTGATAAGTAGTTTTTGCTTTCTTTGCACCCCCTACTAAGCACTCAGAACCCTAAGCCCTACTTACAGCGAGTAGTAGAGTAGTAGTTTCCAGCTTCGTTTCCATTTCCTACTAACCACCAGTATACCTAGTCTGTTCTGCCTACTTGTCGCTACTTGCCAAAACTGTACATGCAGGTTGCAATGTAACGCACAGGATGCTCACTTTTTGCTGCAGGTGGCGGCGACTTGTTCGGTGACACCTCAGGGGGGTTCCCCCCACTC